GCTTCGCCTTCTTGCGAAGCTGTGTCAGGGCTTGCCTTTGTAGGGCATGAATTCTCCTACACCAATGGGTGGAGGGCGACCTGGTATTAAGTAGAAGACTGATAGGGGACTGTATAGGTTTTATAAGGGAAATTACGATTCTCCTCACCTAATAGATGAAGCATATGCATAGAGTACAGTGTTACCATGTATACATCCATTCATTGCTATAGCACTATACAAGCTTGTTTCATAAGTAACCTTCCAAAGTAAATAGGCATTCCTGTAATCATCCTGTACATCCTGGTATATACACGATTACTAGAAAAACACGAACAGTGAGCTACGGCTACGGTAAAAAATATAAATATTTCCCAAGCGCTGTAGTGGCAATGGTGGTTACAATAGCGTGAAGTATAAGGGGGAGAGTGAGATTGCATATAGTGTATATAACCCGGAATCAAGAAGATCGAAGTCATGTTCGAGCAGTAACAGAGCGGGAGAACGACGTTTTATCAGAGAAGATACGCAATTGCTTTTGACACGAATCAAGTCAGAGTATCCACTAGATAATTCATAGCTTGCGACCATAGAACAACAGAAGTAGCACCACAAGTATATGTAGTATACACCTTACATGATCCTAGATGTATTGCTTCTAGAAGTTTCGGGAAAAGGTGAATGTGCTTGGAATTGGATGTAATGGTTGGTTCTGATTTGTCTGCTCTCCGTAATAGTTTGGGTTATATTCAATCAGTTGAGTAGGGCGGGGGTCCGGTATGGAGTTGAGAGGATTGAAGGTGCTTGGTCGAGAAAGAATTCACGACATAGGCCAAACCTGTCAGGCCTAGAATCCTTGCATAACAAACCTATATATCCCCATTGAAAGTTGAGCCTTGAACCCTATATACTTTTAATTCTATATAGATCATACGACCCTGATCAAGACTACCAGGAAAGCTCAAACCTATATAAGCCCTATATACTCTATAAACACCCACATGAAACTACGCAAATTCTTTCTATTTTGCTAGTGATGCAGTGGCTTGTGGAAACAGACACCAGGGGGCCCGATAGGGATACATGGGGATCATAGGGAGGTTTTATTGGGTTTACTTTTGAGGATTGCAGAAGGGTTATCTTCAGAAACCACCATGTACATTTCAGGGTTCCGCAGTAGTCTTCCTACGTTGAAAGGGGTCACGGATTCTAGATAGACATTGCTACAAGGAATGCATGCTGCGCACCAAGTAGATAGATGTGGGAAGCAGCGCGTCCAAAGGAGTAGCAATGCTAAACCGTCAATCTACCTAAGCCTAAAATAACCCTATTCTATCAACCCTAAACCCCCAAACCCTACATATATAAACCCTATACAAACCCTAAACTCACGCCCGAAGCCCGAAACATTGTGCCAACATGGTGCTTCTGCGAGGCTTCCAAGCTGGTGGCCTTCGACACCCTGATTCTATGCAAGTGCCAGAAACCCAATTTTGGCAGGGGCATGGTGACATGAAAGGACATTGCTAGCCAGTAGCAGCTTCTGAGCACGCTTGAAATAACTCTGGCAATCGGACGTCAGCCTCAGCTAAAAAGGCTTCAAGAGGCGCACTGATGTTAATTAGACTGCACGCAACCACGCTATCAGTTGATCAAGAAGCTTGTCGGAGTAGCCCGTCGTTTTCCCTTCGGCCTTGGCTTCTGAGAGCTCCTCGTACACGCCTTCAAAATCTTTGAGCATTGCTTCCATCTTGCGGATGTTCCTTAGCTATGCACTTTAAAGGCTTTAAGGGATGAAGTGGAAACTGCACGGTCCTGAGCAAGCGCTAGCTTGATTCAGGCTAGAGACTCAGTATGGTTTGGATCTGACCCAGCAGCAGACCGCATTCGATCCAGGAAATTACTGAGGGAATTCTTCCCTTTCAAGATAGCACGCAGGTATTCGGTTACCTGAACAGCAACCTTAGCTCCGCATGTATCTGCGTGGTTCCCAGGCTAAATGCAATCAAGAACACATGGACTTGCAACGGATTTCTTCTGACTTCATGAAGTTTCAAAAGGGTGACACTCTTCGTGTGGTCACCCTCAACAGCCTTGTCATTCCGGTGAACGAAGGAATCATTAGGATCGAACTCCATGCTGCCGAGGTCGACGAAGGCATTGTGCTCCAGCTCATCGCCTCCTTCGCCGGAGTACTCCTTTGTCCTGCACAGGCTCTCAAGTTCTTCTTTTGTGATCGTCCCCTCCGTGCGGGTATTGACCCAATACTCCAGGGTCTCATCGTCGTACTCGCAGGTACTGAGATGGGGCAGGATTCGGGGGTTTCGGATTCAGGTGTTCTGGTGGCTTATAGGGGTCTAATACGGTTTATGGGGGTTACAGTGGTTGTGTGTATAGCGGACTTGACAAGATCTTCTAGAGCTCTGAAGTGATGTTCGCCTTCGTGTGTAGCATGGGCTGGATTCCAGTGACATGTAAGGGTAGTCAAGCATTCCAAACCAGGCAGGTGTTATAGAATCGTATTAGTCCGAAATGGGTCCATCTAGCAAAATACAGCAATTTAAAGGATGAATCGAGAAGTTGTAGCCGCATATTAAGCTGCTACAGAATTATATAGCCCCCAAAGAAGGCCCTATAAGAATTGCGCGAAACAACAATCCAACGAAACCCATGCTTCCAAAGCCTATAAAGTCCGCGTAGCCAGCACACCAGATCACCAGAACCTCTCGAAGCAACCCCCGGCACAGTCTAGAGTTAAGTGGGAGTATGGATCATGTAGAAATTATATGAACCCATCTGTTAGTGTGGCCTAGCAAAAAAACATGCAATTCCCAGAGAGCCGGTGCCCTGCATGTGTACGTTGCTAACTTCCGCCCCGAAGCATTGGAATGTATAATGGGTTTAAATTGCCTTAACCTGCTTGATGGAGGAAACTATTCAAACCCTTTCATGAACTAGCTGCCGAACCAGGCCCTTGGACTCCGCCCACTTGACAATCTTGGCGATTCGATGCCTGAGCCCATGCGGATAGGGGATCTGAATTTGGATATAAACTTGAAGTGCGTTTGCTCAGCTAGTAACTTAATATTCATTATAATGCTAACCAGGTGCTCACTGTAGCCCAGCTCCTTTTTCATATCCTCCTTGGAGTAGAAGCCGCCCTTGACTTCTAGCTTCTTGGCTCGGGTAGACCGGCTGTGGATGCTCACTGTCTCCAGGAAGACGGCCTAATACA